TCTTTACAACTGCTTTCCTCTGTTCATGTGCTTTCTCGGCGCTTACTTTATACTTTATTTTCCTTACCCTTCTAATCCTTTCCTGCCTCCTCACCTCTTTCTTCATGAGAAGCCATCAGAGATATATTTTCCCAATTTCCTGCTACCTGTCCTTCATCCGTGCACTCCCTGTACTCCTACTAAAAGATGATTCTTCAACAGGAGTTCTTGGTCCTACTCTTTCCTGATCTTTTCAGGAACATTTTACTACAGTAATCCCTCTCCCTTGTCTGTTTATGCAACTGCTTCCTAACATCAGATCACTCCCAATGACATTTACAGGTGAAAAAGGTGTTTTTAAAGGCTTTTCTCTCTCACTTCTTCTATTCAAATGCTGGTCTAGCTAACATTCAGTGTCCTCACACTCACAGATGGCCTCTCTCCGCAGTGCCTTTCATGAATGTTCAACCTGCTTCAAGTTGGTCTTTGCCTCTCTCGTAGGTCGCCCATCATCCCCTTAGTGCCAGACTCTGGGGACATGTTTTAGTTCTTGATAGCATTTGACTTTTTATTGAAACAATGTTTCCATTTTGGTTCTGTGATTACGATCATCTACTGGGTTTCTACCTAGCTCTATGACCACTAAATCTTTTTGTAGTTTTTTTTTCCTGGTTTAAGATTTATTCTCCTCTATCTGGTTATTAAATGTTAGGTTTCTTAAGACTTAATCCTGGGTTTGTTTCACATTCTATTTATCTCCACAGGCAAGTACACGTGTGACCCAGAAGAATATGACTTGAAGAAATGTGAATCCAGCTCACATTTCTCTTCTGCATCCAAGACTCTGAGTGTCTTGTTCCCCACCTCCACAGGCACGTGTTCATCTCATGTCAAGCATCAAACTCTTATTCTTCTCTTCAAAGTTCGTTCCTTCCAGTGTTCCCCCTCTCACTGAATGGTACCACAGGCATCCAGTTGCACAACATACACATCCCAGAGTCATCCAGGACAGCTCGCTCTTTTTACATTCTAATATTTAATTAGAGATCCATTTATTTTTATTCTAAGCACCTCTTCTACCTGTTTACTTTCTCCATATTTTCTGCCACCATAACCCAAATTACCCATTAGCCCACTTCATCTTGAAATAATTCTGAGATTTTTGAATTAATTGAAATGACTCAGTAGCTTTTAAATTTATTTTTCTTCATTTTGTGTGGTTTTCATTCTAATTCTTTTTTGATGTCACATCAAGAATGATATTTTCAGGGCTGGGGATGTAGCTCATTGGCACAAGCACCTGCCTGAGAAGCACAAAGTTCTGAGTTTGATTCCTGGTACAAAAAAAAAAAAAAAAAGATATTTTCAAAACGCAGTTCCTATTTTGTTCTTCTTGGCTAGGATCATTTCTCCATTGTTTTTGAAATAATGGAAAAAATATTAGTATCTCCCCACTTTTCCAGTCCATGAGCTTTTCTACCCTGCCTTCTTCCATTGCCTTTAAATAAAAGATCAAAATGTTTAACATTCTTAAAATTTTAGTTCCCAGAAGCAGCAGTGTCTGCCCACTGAGTGTCTCTCTGGCTCACATTTGCCACTATCCCCTTAGTTTTCTTTATGTCCTAAGTCATGACACAGGACTGTAATATTTAGAGCAGAGAGGTGGCCAAGGTCCCTACGTGCAGAATTAAAACTAGATTTGAGAGCTGACTTTACCCCAAGTAAAATAAAAAAGGAGCATTAATGGCTTTGCCAAGTGAAAACAAACTGTGTCTGGTGATCTTACTAACAAGTAAAGAAAAAAGTATTTTTCTGTATCAACTGCTCCAGAGCAGATAGGAAGAGTCATTGCAGTCATATTCTTATTAAGCTAATGAGAAACCAATATCATTTGAATGAACGTTTTTCTTTGCAAAGGAGATATGATTGAAGATGTAGAAATTATAAGCTCTAAATGCTTCAGGTCTTTGAGAGTGAAATTAATCTCTACAATTTCCCCAGAAAAGTGGTATTGCTTTTAGTTTAGCCTTTTGGTAAAGAGAGGGCATTCAAAGGGTTTCCACTTGAATGTCCACTTCTGAGAAAATACACTCATTATTGCAAAAAATCAGTGTATTTAATATCTTTCAATACACTAACTTGGAAGGTATTTGGATTCTACAAATAGTGAAGTATGTATATTGCAACTATGTATTCCAGAATTGGCAAAAGGCCTACTTTGGTATAAACCTGAGTCAGAACTCCACTTGAAATTCATCTATCAGTTACAAATAAAATCTTGTCTAGCCAGCACCAGGGATATCTGTGGCCAGCGACCATTCCAATAACTGCTCTGGATATTAATTACAATAACCACATCCATCTAGTCTCCACAAATAAGTGCCATCACTTGGTCTTTCACCACTTCAAGATTCAACTGTCTCCACTGAATTTGAAGAGCATGTTCAGTGGTGGAATTTTCCGGTATCATCTCTTACCTGCATAGAAAATCTATTACAGAAAATTTAAAGAATCCCAGAATGTATTTCTAAACTATTGGGAAGGTTGTGTCCCCTGGACTACCTGGGACAAAATTAGGTGGCTGATAAATAGCTCAAATGAAATCCATTGCAGAATTAATAAATGTTATTAATGATTATTTGCAGAATTCAAATATCCCTTAGTGTTTCAGTAATCAGGAAAAAAATTATTTTTTTTGCTAGGCAAGTGCTGTATCACTAAGCTACATTCCCAGCCTTGTTTTTGTGTTTTCAATAGTGTAATTCTGCCATTGCTAAACCTTGTAAAAACTTTACTCAGACATGTTGAACAGAAACGTGTGTGTAGTGTGGTGGGGAACTCAGGAGTAGGGGCTGGTGATAAGAGGAAATATGCCAGGCACCGTCCAGGTAATCCAGAGCCCGCTGTCCAATAGAACTTCCTGCCATCTTAGGATCTAGATCTTCCCTATCCCATAGGACAGCTACAGCCACATGTGCTTATGGAATCTAGAAATTGGATTTCACTTCAACATAACTAACATACAACTAAATAGTCCTGTAGCTAGTAACTGTAGTATTGGAGAGCACAAAGTATCTATCAGAAGCCAGACAGTGGGTCAAAAATGCATAATCAGAAAAATGTAAGCATGTTCTCTGTCACTCCAAAAACTCAAAAATAGTACAGAGGGCACTAGACCTCTGGAAAACAAGTGAGATGGAAGCTTAAAAGATCTCACTTAGCTGTTAAAGAATGACTCTAGCTAGAATGCTGAAAAGTAACATATGAGCGTATTTTGTGAACACAAAGTACATGTCCGGGCTCAGAGAAAAGATTTGAAAGATATATATCAAAATGTGAACTTTGCAGGGTGTGATTATGATAACTTCTATGTTTATACTTCCTGTGTTTCTCAGATTTTCCCGCTGAACATGTATCAGCTTTAGTTTTTGTTTGTTTTAAATCTGATTGCTTCTCTGGATAGTATACTGAAATATGAGTGATGCTCTCATCCTTCCCGGGCCATTTCCTAATTCCTGCTCCTAATGCTCCTGATTCTTTTCTCCACCAATTTCCCTATTTCCTTCTCTAGTCAGTGATAGCTGGCTGTGATGAGCTTCATGGTTTCTTGAACAATACGACAAACCATATGGTAAAAAAGTAGAAGTTACCTCCAAGATTTCTGGCCTTTTATTTAGGGTATAAAGTGTGCAAGTGTTTTAAAAAATTGGGAGTCTGTAAAAGACAAGGGGAAAGGGGTGTTCAGTCAGCTTTCTCTAGAGAACAAAACAATTACTGGAGGTATGGAGTTTATGTATTCAGAGTACAAGCATTCTTCAGAATCTACGGGACATTGCTCTGAAACCCCCAAAGATCCCCAAATCCTCAGATGCCCAGTCCCCTATAGAAAATGGTGTGGTACTTATATATGACCTTCATACATTTCCAGTAGATTTAAGTTATCTCTAGATTATTGATAGTAAATGCTATGTACATAGCTATTATACTGCATTGCCTAAGAGATGACAGAAGTCCATACATGTTTGATACGGATGGGTTTTTTCCCAAATAGTTTCGATCCAAGGTTGCTTGAATTCACACTTCAGATGCCTCAGATATAGAGCACTAATTGTACGGGAGATCACAGGTGGGTTTTCTGATACTTCTGGGTCTTGCACAACCTCAGAGGGAAATGGCAGCATTCTACATCTGGGGAGCATAATTTACAGGGGCTGGGGTCTCTGCCTTGCAATATTCCCCCATGTCTCAAGTACAGTGTGGAATCACAGAGGCTGTCAACCCTGAAGGTGTCAAACTGGGGCAAGGAGCATTTCTATGATAACTATGGGGACCCAAGTATGTAAACAGCAACGCTCTGTGTTAGTCTCTTGGACTTTGGTACTGCCTTGGGCGACTGTGGAGACATGAGAAGAAAGGAAGTGCAATGTCCCACCATCTGCACAGGAAGAATTTTAAAATTTAAATTAATGAATCTATTAATATTTTTTTTAAAGGGAGAAACTAGCTAGTGGGAAGGAAAAGCAGTGCAGCTGCCATAGAAAGCAGTATGGTAACTCTTCAAATAGAATTATCCTATGGCCCAGCAATTCCACTTTGATGTATATATTCAAAGGAAGTGAAAGGAGAGTCCAACACTGATGTCCACAGTAACAGCACAGTAGCCAAAATGTGCAAACAAGGGTGCCTTAGCAGGTAATGGACTTAAAATACGTGGCACCTGTGCGCTGTGAGACATCCTGCACTACAAAGGAATGGTATGTGCTGCAGCATAGATGGGCACTGGTAATGTGCTGAGTGGAATAAGCCACTTGCTAAAGGACAAATGCCACATGCTCTGCTGACATGAGGTCTTGACTAGGCAACTGCACAGAGAGAAGTAGAAGCCACCAGGAGCTGGAGGAAGGGAGGGCTGTTGGATGGGTACAGTGCACACTTGGGATGATGAAAAGGGTATGCAGATAGGGAGTGATGAGAGCTGTATGGAGGAATGTAGTTAATGCCATTGAATGCACACTTAAAAATGGATGAAATGTTACTCTTTATGTTATACGTACTTTACAGCAATGAAGGAAAGTCTAAAAGAAGACTTCAATTTCTTTTCTGTTCTGAAGTTTTATTAAGTGAACTCAGAACAGCCTTTAGTCTAGAGCTAACTTAATCTTGGGACTAAGGCAACACCCCTTTGGGTTTCTACCTGCTGCCCTGTGTGTTATGTTATCTCTCCACTCTAGCTAGTGAGAACACAGATTATTTCCAGCCTTGTTGAATGGCAAGAATTTTTTGTCCATGTATTTCTGGTGATTATTTCTCTGGCCTTAGATAATTCACATCACAAGCAGGTAGTACTCAGCAAAGTATCCCTCTGCGGGTCCTTGAGCAGTACTCTCCTCTCTGATACTCTGCTCTGTAAATCAGCCACCTTGGCTATATCAAATTCCAATCTCCCTCAGAGAAAAATGGCTTGCTAGGCTGTTGCCTGGCAACTGTCTCCATTGTTTTGCTGTTGCCATGGTGAAGTTCTCCCATTTCCCTTCTCCCAGGGATCATCAGCCTTTGCTGCCTCTTACAGGATGTGATTCCAGGCAATTTGTAGACAGACTTCTGGAGCTCTTTCTGTCTTGAGCTCTCTCTGTTGAGTTCCCTTCCCAGAAAATCCCTGCAGTCTCACACTCTGACCCTAGATTTCTGTCTCTTTAAGTTTAGGGGTCCACTGTGCTCTGCTGGGGTTTCTCTCTCCTTGCTGGAATCCAAAAATCCACAGAGAAAGCAGGGCAGTTGTAGAAGCCAATAAATGTATTTGTCTACTCTCAGGGATCATAATTCTGGTCTGGTTATTATTTATATCTGAAAACAATTGCTTCATGTATTTTATATATTTTTCTTGTTCACGATAGCAAAGCTAACCTGACATTAGTTATGTCATTTGGCCAGATATTGAAATGTGAACCACCATATTTTTTATTTTTAAAATGTCTGTTCTTCTTTTTAAAACACATCTGATCTTTTTTATCAAGTCTTGGTCTTGCATAATAGTTTCTCCTCTTTGAACCTTGTACATATCCTTCATTTAAGGTGTTTTTTGATTTTTTTATTAGTCATGTTTCGTTGGACCGCATCTCTCTCTCCTCTAATTCTCTGTCTCCTCTTGTGGATTAATTCTAAAGCTTACTAGAAACTTGTCTTCTGTGGGAGTTGTTTCCACAGCAGTCAAGGGTGCCGCTTTGCTGAGGTCTTCCAGGGTGGTGAGAGCAAGTTTGACTCTGCCAGGGCCCCAGGGGTTTCGGTTTATATAAGAATTTATCAGGCCAGGTTTTCCACACAGACAGGTTCATGCAAATTTGTGTAAAACCCTCAGCACGGTTCTGAGGCGAGCTTCCTATTTCTTTTTTCTTGCACAATGTAGATTAGCTGACTGGCTTCTTTGCAGTCTCAGGGACTTAGTGAATAGGATAATTCTAGTTTCCAGTTTACAGGTTGGTCCTCAGATTTATTAAAAGGCCTTTTTCTAGGCGCCAGTATTCCCTCAGATCCAGAACCCAACATGCATTAAAACCATAGCCCTCGAGAAGTTTTCCCCCATTCTGGTTCCTTCATAGGCCACTGGGTTTAGCTCTTGCTCATTACATTGATTTTGAATATTTTACTCATTTCTTCTACTTGGGGATTTCCTTTTCTTAATTTCAATGTCAACCATGTATTTTAAAAATTAGTTGGGTTTATTACATTCAGTTCTATATTATCTTGTGTGGGGAGGGGAAGAGTCAAGCCCTGTGCAGCACACTGCTTTGAAACGCGTGTCCTAGAAGGGTGCCTTTGGCCTTGGAGCCAGAGTCTTCAGCTTCCAATGCATTTGTTATTTACCTCTTGCCTTCTTCCCAAGTCAATTTTAGGTGCTAGAATGTGAGTTATTGCCATCTTATTTGATTGTAGGCTCACACAAGGGTGCAGCATGGAGCACGTCGTTTTAATTTGTACAATCCAGGACTCCTAATGGACCACCAGCCTGACACGGTACTGAACGAGTATCTGTTAAGAGGAACACAGGAAGGTTTCCAAAATTTTATTAGGAGCTTTTATTTATTGAATTCAATTTCTTTAAAATAAAATGTGAGGCAAAATTTCACTCATCTTTTTTGAACTCAGGGTAATTGTTACTGAACTTTATAAACGACCCGTTAACTACTAGCTATTTTTCTCCTTTAATCTTTTAAGAAAATATAGTGCTCAGAAGAATTTAAGAAGAATGAATACCACCTCAGAGCCGGAGCAGAAAGTAATAAAATAAATTCCACTCTTTTCCATATTCCCTATTATAATTAAGCAAGTCAGGCAGATCAAGATGTATAGAGAATGACAGAATCAGCACTTAGCAACCAGCACAGGAAACAAAGCCTTGCAGCTGGGGCTTGGGGTCACGGGGGAATGGGTGGCAGTGCTCTCCGGAGGCTGTGACCTGACCACCAGGACAGCTCAGGGTCAGGAGTCACTGCACAGTGCAATACTGGGGCACGGGGACCCTTCTAGAAGGAGCAGACAGAAGGTGGTAGGCACCTTGAAACCTGTTCATGTCTCACCTCCAGGTGTGAGTGTCTGCTGCAGGGAATGCATAACATGGGGACTGAAAGGGTCTCTCTTGGAGTCCTAGCTGGACACTTCAGGAGCGGTTGGAAGCACTCTGTACTTCCTCACTTTAAGAAAATCCCTAGAGACTCCTAGCTGGAAATTTATGCCACTGGATTGCCCCAAATTTCCCTGAAAAAGACAAGACTTCTTTTGGCCTTCTGCAAAGGAATGAATCATTTGGAAAACTTGGGGCTCTGGAAAATCTTCAGAACATTTTTGTAAGAGGGAAGGCACAAAAGGAGGACTGGGGAGCGATGGGGAGCATGACAGTAATTTTAAGATCTTGAGGAGCACTGCAGGGAAGTTACTGATCTGAGTGATGATTTCTCTATCAGGCTCTTGGGAAGGTCAAAGTCGAAGGATTCAGGATTTCTGAGTGGGAAGACCCAAGGGGTGAGGGCAGCTTCCAGGGCCAAGTCCCCTGAGCACCCAGCGGGCAGCCTTGATGGTCTTGTTGCCTGGCTGAGGACAGAGGACAGTGCTCCACCCCATGACCAACTTCTCTTTCAGAAAGCAAGTCCAGAACAGCGTCTTAAATTTAAAAAAAAAGCCTCACAACGCAAATTGAAGAAAAGCCTAAAGTTCCAAAAGATTTATAATTTCTATGATTTTATAAGTTAGAAGAGAGTTTCTTAAGGTAAAGAAAGAGAAAGACCAGCAGTGACAGTGGGATTCCTTCAGAGGCAGACAAGAGAGCCCTTAAGATAGGTGTCTAAATTTCTGGGACTTATGTAACTAAAGATTACACTGACAAAAACATTACCTTAAAGGAAAGTAGAGAGGGCCCCCCTTCTTGGAAGAGTATGCACCAGAATTTGCGTCAGCTGTCTTCACACAAGACTCTTGAGGCTACAATTGATTGATTTCAGTACCTGCCCTGTGAAGCAAAAGTTAGAATTCATTCCAAGCTCTTGATTAAATCATAGGATCAGGTTGCTAATGCTAGGGGAAAGCTTTGAGAGTCCGTCCTCTAACGGCTCGAGTCTAACACACTTAATGTGAAGGTGAGGAGACTGAGGTCCTAAGAGGGAGGTGACTCACCTGTTGGACTTCGGAATTTGTACAAATATTAGCTCACTTAATCATAAGAATTGGAAACAGAGCAAGTCTTACAAAGAGCACTGATCTTGGAGCCAGGGAATCTTGGATGTGCTAACTCCTCAATGAGGACTGTAATCATTAGGTACCGCAGATGTGAACCAATAAAAAATAAAATAAAGAAATTGTAGGATAAATTTCCAGCTCTCCCATTTATCTCTTTATTGGGTTTGGATAAGTTAGGTCTCTTTGAGCCATATTCTTCTCATCATTAGACAAACCCAGTGACTGTCTTCTGTGCCTCCCCTGCTAGGCTGTGGGCAGTGTGACATGAGCCGACAGGTATACATGTAGGAAGTGTTATGGGTTTGTAAAGTGTTTACGGTGTGATATAGATAAAGTAATGAAGCTTCAGAAAGATCCAGTTAGTGAGGTAAATGGAGTCATCAAGAAGGTGTATGTATATTTCATAGCTGGGGCTTTAAAAATATTTAATAAGTTGGAAGGCTATAGACAAAATGAGAGTAAGGAACCTCAACTTTAAAATACAGGCAGAACCGATAAGAGCCCAGAGAGCTATCCAAATCCATAAATAGGGTCGGCCAGTGTCCTGTCTGGTATTTTGCAATTACAATTTCGGTTTCTAGGAAAAGAGCTTGTGAAGACTTCACAAACTTGATGCTACTAATTTTCATGTAAGAATATAAAATTTAAATGAAAGTTATTAGCAGATAATATTATTTCCCCCTGTATAACAACAAAATTAATCGTGGTGACCCTAATGATATGTACACCATGACATGTACCACAGTAATTCTTTTTTTTTTTTTTTTTTTTTTTTTTTTCTCCGGTACCGGGAACCGAACTCACGACCTTGCGCTTGCCAGGCAGGCGCTTTTGCCGCTGAGCTAAATCCCCAGCCCCTGTACCACAGTAATTCTTATACAGTGTAGTCAGCACTTAAGTTTTGTGACATGTGATAATGGCCTTGCTTATTGTGCAAATATTTAGAATATATTTCTACCACTAGATGGAGACATTTCTTTCAATTTGTAGATCTGATTTTGTTAGGTTGTGTTAGGGCCTTTATATCAGTTGCACATATTTTCTCTCTGGTTTACTTTTACAATGACTTTTGCCACCTACATTTTAATATAGGAAAATCGTGTCCCTAATGGTTTTTTTTGTTTCTGTCACTGTTCAAGTTTATCCAGTTGTCACTCTCAACTCTATCATTTACACACATAACAATAGAGAAGGAAATACATGTGTATTAAGTTTTAGATATTCAGTCCCCTTGGATTTCCCTTACACATATTATATGTACCCCTTATGATTAATTAAACTGTATGGTTTGATAAAGCCTTGCTTTTTAAAATTAATTTTATTGGTACATTTTAGATATACCTAATGATCACATCAATCATAGGGGATTTGTGCCTGTGCATAGTATCTATTGGTTTTTCTTTTTACCCTCAATCCCCTCCTCTCCATTCAACTTCTCCTCCCCTCCTTATTTACAAGAGCTTTGTTTCCATTTTTCCTTCTATTCTCTTTATTTTTCCCTTCCTTCTTATCCCCCTCCCCTCTCCCTGGTTCTCTTTCCCATTTGAATATTTTCTATGTTACAGTATCTATTAAACATTTTGGTCCTTATTTACCCTTTCAGTTTCTCACACCAGAGAAACAAGTGATATTTAAACATGTATGTCCAATTTAATTCACTTAAGAATATGGTCTCCAGGTGCATCCATTTATCTAGAAATGTCTCAAGATTCTTCTCCATGGCAGAGTAGTACTCCATTCTACAAAAACCCCATATCTTTATCCATTCATTCACTACTGGACATTTGGGCTGTTTCTAAGACTTAGTTATTACAAATTGTACTACTATTGGGCTTGCGTATATTGCTGTGGTACGATGCTTTTAAATCTTCCGGGATGATATCAAGAAGGAGAATAGCTGGGTCAAATGGAATCTCTAGTCCTAGTTTTTGAGGAATCTCCACACTGATTTCTGCAGTGGCTGCACCAGCCTACACTCCGACCAACAGTGGAGAAGGGTTCCTTTTCCCCCGCAACCCCTCCAGCATTTGTTGTTGGTTGATTTCTTGATAACAGCCATTCTTTCTGGAGTGAGATGGAATCTCAGTGTTGTTTTAATTTGCATCTCTCAAATGACCAATGATATTGAACATTCACATATTTATTTGCCAGGTAAACCTTGTTTTAAAAAATACATATAGATTAAAATCGTAGCTCGTGTGGAGATTAATGGCAGTGCTCTCAGCTGCGCTGTTATGTCTTGCACTTCTGAGGGTGAGGACAGGCAATTTCACTTGTTCCTCTTTCTGAGACATCAGAAGTTTTCAATCAAGATGACTGCTATTTTCCAGAAATTTAACTATGACATAGTGTCCTTTGTTTTAATAATTTTTCCACAATAAGTAGTTCCATTGTCTTAATTTGATTTTTTTTTCTACAATAAATAATGGTCTTTTCTGGTAGTGGGCTGGCATATTGTCCCACTGCAGTGACCTAAAACTAGCAGAAAGGCCCTTTTCTCGGAGTGGGACTTTCAGGAGGGGAAACCCCGCAGACTGCTGAGCGGTGTGCTTGGCTGGCTGAGTGTGTTTCCTCCGGGCCTCCTGCAGCGATCCGCAGACCCCCTGTAGTCTGAAGGGCAGCTGGGATTCCTAAGAGATCTCCTGAAAGTGCGGGCTTCAGGTCGATCTAAAGATTTTAGTCCTGGATATTGTATTTAAATTCCTATGTCTGCGTTATCAAAGATGTAAATTCTTAGAGCTTATTTTTAAGGAAAAGTTTTTCGATTTTTCTTCTTTCTCATTATTCAAAAGATAAAATCCGTAGCTTTGCTGGATTCCTTGCTCAAGCAGAAAATGACACTTTCTGTTTTCAGGGAATAATTGCTGGGGATTGGATGGGTAAAGGGAGGGCCATCGGAGGTCTGACCTCCACCTCAGGTGAGGGACAAGACTGCTGCTGCTGTGTGTCCCTCCCTGTTCGGGGCAACAGCGACACAAGTCCGTCTACGCTCCAGAGAGTCCACAAGGCCCCTGAAGAAAAAGAACTTCCTATGTGGCTGTTATGGGTTGTTCTGGGGTTGCATCCCTAGGATATAGAATTTGCTTAATAAGAGGAAGTCTGTAAACATTTGAACTTAAGGAAGAACGATTGAATCCCTAAAACCCTAACATTTGGTTTGGCAGGAAACGTGGTCTGAATCCGAATCTCATTAAAGCAGGCAGAGGTTTCTTCATGGGAGCTGAAGGCTCAACAGAGGGAAGGTTTCTACTTCTTTTTTTTTTATTTTTAGGGGAAAAACCCCCAACATTTCATAACAAAAAATAGAAGAAGAATAATAGTTAATATATTATGTATTGTTGTCATCAAAGTAGTTACTCAGAGTACAAGATATGGGCATAAAAATTCTCCAAATGATATTAGCACAAACCTTTCTTTTCAATGAGCTAAGAGAAACTAGTAGTATATAACTATCTTGTATTTTTTTCCTTTTCCCTTCCTTTCCTCTTTCCCTATCCTAGTTCCTCTTTCCTTTTGAACAATTTCTTCCCATTTCACAGCATCTATTGTACATTTCTGTCCTTATTTACTCTTTCAGTTTCTCACACCAGGCAGACAATGGGGGGCGGGTGTTTTTGCACTCTGAAGGATCCACAGTGGAGCCCTCTGCTCTAGGCCAACCATGACCTCCCAGACTGTTCCTCAGCGACAGGGCACTGCCACCCCCTGGTGGACACTTAAGAGTGACATTTGGGTTCCGGGAAGCTCCCAGGGCAGTGACTGGAAATGGGGTGGGGGTGGGAGTCTGCAGCTCAGCCAGACAGGATGGCCATCACCTCCGCTTTATCAAGCTGTCTGCATGCTGTTAGATTTTCCTTTCAAAGATGGAGAATAGGGAGTCCAAGAGAAATCCAGGAGTCTAAGCTGCCTATTGCCTGAAAGTGAGATAGGTACGGCAAAGAAACCCTAATATATTCTGAATGTGATCCAGTTTTCATAGAGGAAGATATGGCCCAGGTGGTAGATCTAATTTGTGTATCTAATTCTTAATTACTAAGGCAGTAATGCTGCTTACACACAACAGAACTTCCATAGTATTAGGATTAAAAAAACCAATAAAGGCAAATATAAGTATAAATAATATAAACCTGGGTGCAGTTTCAACAAAATTAATTAATCAAAAATTATCAAAAAATTAAGAGTCAAATAAGATTCCCAATGTTTAAATGTTCTACATCTCAAACAAAAAGAGAAAAATGAAACAACAAGCTCTCCAGATTAAGAAGTATTGGAATTACACAGCTTGCAGACACTGTTTGCAAAGGCAATTGTTATTTACTTAGGATACAAAATTCTTTTAATTTTATTTCCTTAGAAGATGACGTTTATATTCCTACTAGGGAGTGAGTACATGTGCTTAACCTGTCTTAATTCTTTTTATTGCCCCTTCTATACACCTCCCTCCCTCTAGCTCTAGGTCCACTTTCCCCATTTTCATTATTATTATTATTTTTTTAGTTTACAGTTGCTCCATATAATGATCACCTTCACTGTGCACAGTTCATACTTATACATGACACATTTTATGTTCCCTTCCCCAAGTTTTTTGGTCCCCTTCCCATTTGCAAAAGATCTATCTCCCAGTTCCCTTTTATCAGTCTTTTATTTTGCTCTTTATTTTAATTCATTTGGATTACTCAAATGAAAAAAGTCATACAACATTTAAACTTATGTGTCTGATATAGTTTGCTTAACGTTATGTTTTTAAAGGTATACACTTTCCTACAAATGTCT